GAACCGATTTAAAAGAGCAATTTAAAAAAAGGACCAGATTTAATTTGTTAAAAAAATAACCTGTTTAAAAGAATGATTTGTTCACAAATTTGACTGATTTGGTTCTCAATTTCGACTCTCTGATGCAATCTGGTCATAATGGTTCTTGAGGTAACAGCTCATCAGCTAGTAAATACGTAACTATGGTTTCAGAAGACTTTTAATATAGTGCACAAGTCGCATTGACTACTTTTATGGTACATTTACACATGAGAGATGGAAAAAACTGCAGTAAAAAAGACAAACGCATAATACAAAAGTCTGCCTAAACACAAATTCTCTCATCATTGATGCCAGTTGTCTCTGTACTAACGTGGTTCTGGGAGCCAAACACTTCATTTATCTGTCATGTTCTGGCTCTGATGTGGGTTTAACCACATTCTTCATTTCATCATCTCATCTCTCTCTCTGTCTCACTCACTTGCTCTAAGCTCGTTCTGTCTTTAGCTGATTGAAGAGGACAGAACACACCACATGACCAGTCCTAATTGGTGCTGATTGGGTGGCTTGGCAGCTCTTAAAGTGATTTATTGTGGACTTTAGTCCTTGTGAAATTCTCAAATCTCCTTCAGACATCAATATAACCCTTAAAGGGAGACCTATGGGACATATCAAAAAGAATAAAGCATCATTCCTAACCCTTTAAGTGCAGTCATTTCATAGCGTATTGCTTCTCGCCCAAACCCACTTCCCACAGTGCCGTTTTTACACATACGGATGTTATTCTTCGTCTCTGTGGTTTTCACTCCGATCTCTCTCATTCTTCTCCCTGTACGGTCTGAAACAATATATCAGACTGAGGCCTGTCTGCAAAATGAGCACGAGACCAGACTTGGAAGAGAACTGAGAAAAAGCAAATGGATTTTCAATCATTTTTGTGTGAGCCTGAAATGACATGCAGTTGTGAAGTGAAAGTGACGTGTGGCCAGGTATGGTGACCCATACTTGGAATTAGTGCTCTGCATTTATCCCATCCAAAGTGCACACACACAGCAGTGAACACACACACCGTGAACACACACCCGGAGCAGTGGGCAGCCATTTATGCTGCGGCGCCCGGGGAGCAGTTGGGGGTTCGATGCCTTGCTCATGGGCACCTCAGTCGTGGTATTGAAGGTGGAAGAGAGCGCTGTACATTCACTCCCCCCACCTACAATCCCTGCCGGTACGAGACTCGAACCCATAACCTTTGGGTTACAAGTCCGACTCTCTAACCATTAGGCCACGACTTCCCCCAGTTGTCATTTCAAGCAAAGCAAAGGCAATTACAAGCAAAGGCTTGTGAGATCGATCCATTATGGAGGGCACTCACATGCTTCTCATTATATCTGCTATCAGAATCATATCTAAACTGAGGTCATGCTGTTGGACTGTTAAGTTGTCATTTGATGGATTTCTCACACAAGCATTTTGCATGTGATGGATACCGCGGAAAGCTTATTCAACACAGTAACCTGATAAATAATAGAGTTCACTATCTATATGAACTCATGAAAATGACTCGTGAAGATTGTCTTCTATCTAACATTTTAATTACAGTGCTTGCAAGGCAAGGTAATCCTCAAACATAATTTTCATCTTCTCTGCAATTTTCTGCAATTAATTCAGCTTGAACAAACAGACTCTTTCACATTCAAACTTGAGCTTTTTGGAACTTTCAAAGAAATAAAGAAATCTCTTAGAATGTTCAACATGGAAATCAACAGCAATGAGGTCACTGAAATATTTGCATACTGAATTTGTGTCAGTGTTTCTTCTTGCATTTATTTGCATATTCAATTGTGTCTGTTTTCTTCTTCCTCGCATCTGTATGGCAGATTCCTTCGGTAAATGCAAATCTGGTTACAGTTTTGTGTGAGGTGAGTATGGTTTATGTTTAGTCTAGTATTAATTCACCTTCTGCCACTTGATGGCAACATAAGACCAGTTAAACCTACTGTCACAGCAGACAGTGAAGCTGTACCATGTTGCAATGCTGCCCTCTAATGGTCAGACATACAATCTTCTGTGAACAGTAATTATCATTCACGACATATTTCATAAGACAGCATAGTCTAGTAAAAGCAAAGGCTGCTGGGAAAACATTAAACAGATTGTTTCTTTGATCCCCAAACATTCGTCATCTTCAAATGCATCACTGAGCTGCATCTGCCAATGTGATACATTTAGTAAAATTCATAAACCTACTCCAAACTATTGTATTCGACTCTATCTTTGTTTCTCACAATACACAATAGGTGGTCACTTTAAATGTGCTTTAGAAATGCATGAGACCCGTTTGAAAGTGTTGAGCAACACTGAGACACTAAAACCTCTATAGCTACTGAAATGATCTCTGTCTGTATATGCTAAAAGTTTATTTTAGTAAAAAAAGAAATGTACAATGAGTTTATAGTCTAGTTTCAAGTGTGTGTGCGTGTATGTGTGTGTGTGAGAGAGTGTATTGTTAGCCTCTGATGTATTTGCTCTGGGCTTGAGCACAGACTGGCAGGTTCTATGCATCAAATATTTATCTCACAGTAACTCTTATGCCTTAAATAATTCTCAAAGAACTGCGGCAAAAGCAAGCCTTTACAACCCCAGACACACTTCAACCTGGACAATAGATTCAAGGGAAGTGAGTGAGAGACATATATGCTATATGCTGTGATAAGTGAGCATATAGCATATGTGCTACTTATATACTTATGTGATAAGTATATATGCTATATGCTATATAAGTGAAGTGAGAGACATATAGGCATTGTTTAGCTAAACTTTAGCATCACGTCTTTAGCTAAACTAAACTGTCCGGGCAGTACAAGACATTATTAAAAATGTTCATGTTTATCAGATTGACCTGAATGATTTTCTGTGGAACACAAAAACAGGTATTTTGCCGAATGTTCACATTTTGCTTTCAGATAAAGGCAACCTATTTAACAAAGGACTGTCAAAAAATCTAAAATCGTTGACCTTTTTTTTTTTTTTTTTTTTGCATGAATAAGGTTTAATTAATTCCTCTCTGCTGTAGATTTCAAATCTCAATTCAGATTTGTAAGGCATTTTACAAATAGCATATTCAATCTTGAAAGACATAGCCTACATGAAGAAACATTTTTTTATTTTTGGGTGAACTATTCCTTTAACACTTTATTTCCCCACAGAACCATGAATGACTGATGAAAAATAATTACCTTTGTAATGCAGTTTCATTGTCATTGAAATGATAGTTTAACATTAGTTTATCAAGACTGGGCTGTACTTTTGCAAAATTTAATTCACTTCATTCATACAACTGTTTGCATGTGACACCTAAACTAAAGGGCTGCGCGATGAACACGTGTTGAGTATATGGCAGTATATGCTTGTGGCAGCAAAGGAGAATAACAAACATTATTTGGAATTTGATGAGGAGGAAAACAAAAGCCTTTCTGTTAAATGTAAACAGGCCTGGTTCTACAGGGGTGCTAAAGGATGCTAAACACCCTCAAACGAAAGCCAGCCCCAGTTGAGCGCTTTAAATGTTTCTATTTACAACGATTTATTGAATGCAATAGCCAATTGCAGCATTTAAGTTAGTCAGAATCGACTCTGATCAAAACGCCGAGTTTTTGTTTCAGTGCTGAGTAGTGCATGCTTGCAAATATCTCATTATAACAGTTTAGACAATGTAAATAATTGATTCATTGCAGTGTAGACAGCTTCACTGATTATAATGGAACTTCGTGGGATCGCGATTAACTGAAATGAGTGGTATTTTACTGGTTATAACAATTCTGAACTTATAATTGGAGCTTTAAGGACTCGTGTCTATACTGTTTTCGTGTTTATACTGAAATAAATGAACATTGTGCAGGCATTTACCAATCGTAGGCTGTATGTTTATGGCTTATTGCGACTCACTGAGGTATAAAAGCTGCAGTCAGTTAACGAAGAAAATCGCGCCTCGACTGTGTCAAATGTGACAAGACTTTGTAGTTTTGGACGTCGCAGTCTTTGATATTTAGTCACCGTCGCTATGGTTACAGGTCAAATAGAATACTGGCTTGACTTCAGTTGCGCGTTACAGTAAACATTCTGCTGCTTTTATGATGTCATGGACTTGAACAGCAGTATTGTAGTCACTTTAGATCGTGTTTGATTAGGATGAACAGAGATATCTGTCTATTTATGAAGGTAAATCTCTACAAACATACATTAATACAGCAAATTATCGACTTGTTCCAGTTGATTCCACAAAAAGATTTTTCTGAATATAATCTTAAAAATGTTTGTTTCTTTCCATCTTCATGTCACTACCATGAATGGTAAGAGTGGCAAGAAAGACATGAAAGGTTAGCTAAGTTTGAATGTACAAAAAAATCTGAATGTGTAGAATGTGGATATATTAAAAACTATAACTTGTGTTAAAGTGTAGCATGAATCTTATATGTGGAAAATGTCACTATTTCTGAAACGGTCATCTGTTTCTTTTTGTTTTGTTTTTTTGCATGACCTAACCCTTTCCATGCCACGGTTTGAGCCGTCACAATGGCAAACATGGTAATACATAAAAAAAATGTGGTAACTTTTGTTAAAGTGCAGCATGAATTTTTAATTCCGGAAAATCATTGTATTTCTGAACATGTTCTTCTGTTTTGTACCTTGCATGACTCTTTCAAACAACATGACACGGTTTGAGCCGTCACAAAGGTGAATATGGTAAGACAGATCATGTGACAACACGAAAAAAAAAAACTTTATTAATGTGTTAAACTGCAACATGAATCTTTTTTTTATTCTAGAAAATAACTGTATTTCTGAATATGTTCATCTGTTTCTTTCTTTGCATGACTCTTTTCAACTATATGCCATGGTTTGAGCCGTCAGTGGAAAACGGTAAGAACACCAGAAACATGTACTAACTTGTGTTAAAGTGCAGCATGAATTTTTTATTCTGAAAAATCACTGTATTTCTGAATATGTTCATCTGTTTCTTTCTTTGCACGACTCTTTTCAACTATATGCCATGGTTTGAGCCATCACAATTGTGAAAAATGGTAAGATAACAGCAATACTGGAATACATTACAGGACTTTTTAAAAGATTTAAATCACTGAATCACTGGTTCAGAACAATTGATTTGCAAAAGTTTAAAAAAAGCTTCAGAAAGAAGTGTTTCAAAAGCATCCAACACTGGTGCACTGTCGTATTGACTACTTTTTATGGTTTTCACAGTCAAACTCAGACAGCCCGTGGTTACTATAGTTCTATAATTATTCATAAATCTCCTTTTGTGTTCCATGGAAAAAATATGAGGGTGAGCAAATAATGACGGACTTAGGCTATGTTCACACTTGGCGTCTTTTTTGAAGCTGTCAGCGTCTGTTTTACATTATAATCCTATGGAGTAAACCGTGTTTTCAAAAAAGTGATGGAAAAGATAGCCGGTAGATTAGTTCTTACTAGTTTCGGAGCACAAGGAGTTGTATTATATGAGCACAAAACTGTATCTAACTTAGTCTAAAATATGCCACAAACCGTGCATCATTCACCTGGAGCTCCTGGACTAAATTGTTGTAAGCACCATACTGTTTCCTTCCCCATATAATGTCGCGCACCCACAAACATCATTGTGAACTGACATTCTCCTCCCCGTTAACTTCAAAAGGCAACGCAAGAGCCAACTTTTTACTCTTTCTCGACATTTCTGCAGCATATAGCGCTAGGCTATTGTTGCAGCTGTTGATATAGCAACAAAAGACGCCCTTGGCTGCTATTTGTAACCAAAACGCTGCCAACTTTTTATTTTACTAAAAAAGCGCTCGTCAACTTTTTCTTGTCAAAAAACGCCAAGTGTGAACACGCCCTTAAGGGCCAAGCACTGATGAATTATCAAAAAGTGTGAGGGGGTCTTAGGTGTTTTAATTAGCAACTGACTCTCTGAGATTCATAGGTAGCAAACATCTGCATATGTTAATAAACATGCCAGCAGGACACTCTTGGCATGCATATGCCCAACTATGCCTAAAGTCAAAGCGTGAGTGTAACAATGAGACTGAATTTGGTTAACAAGCTCTCAAATGAATGCAACAGTTAGATGTGTCCATCAACAATATATATTGACATGACTCTACAGCTCAACCCAGATGGTGTGGGAGCGTGAGGGGCCAGTGAGGGCCATTGAAGTGCTCTGCATTTGTTTACCACACTCTTCCTACCGCTGTCAGGGAAAAAAATGAGAAACACTCATAACAGAATGTTAGAACACTTGAGCCTAGTGAGTCATGTAGTTCAGTTATACTGGATGAATTACAAGTTTAACGAGACAGGGAGAACATTGGAGGAATGTAGAACCAAGAAAAACTCCTCTGCTTTACTGCTTTATTCTCAACAGTTCTGACAGAAACAAGTGTATACTATGTTGACATTCTGAATAGTGACTCACAAAGTAGAATGATGCCAAGACTAATGCTTGTGTAGAGCCTTATGAAGTCTGTTTTTATCTTTTCTCAAATTCCATGGTTTCATTTTTCCCATTTTCCATAGTTTTGATGGTTTATTTAAATTTAAAAAAGCCAAAAAGGATGTTTAATCAATTTAATTCATAAAACTTAAAAAAATTAATAATTTATTAAAATGTTAACACTTATAGTGCCGTATGAAAGGTTAATTTTTTTTTCCAGATCATCTATTTTTGTGGATTTCTAAAAACTGATACTAATCAAATAAATCCAAACTTTAGCAATTAAATGTAATTAATTGTGTTTTTAAAATTTAATCAATTCCTGTCATTTTTGGTAAAGTGCTGCAGAGGTTTACTGTTTATATTAAAACATGGATGAAAATTTGTGTGCTATTCCTTAAAAATAAAAAAGGCATTATTATTATTATTATTATAATTACTACTACTGCTACTTTAATAAATACATTCTACTGCACTATAGTGATATAAGTAGTATATGTTTTTTGATTATTATTTTTGCTATTACTTTTGGTGGCGCTAGTGGCACGGAAATTACAATTTCCCTGAACTTACATTGAATCTTATTCCTTAAAACTGCAAATTTGGCATAGAGAGAGAAAGAGATAGAAATAGAGGAAAGTGACAGATAGATCAGGTGAACTGGCCAGCACTCTATAAATAACTCTACTTTGACGTGTGGAGGGTGATTTCACCCTGACGTTTTCTCTCCTCCACCAATTTTCCTTTAAATTAGTCTTTAGGCATGCACACCTCTCTCCTCCAATAACACAGAGCCGTGCTGCCCTCTATCTCTGTTCCTCCTGTACTCTTTTAATCTCGTGCTCTGTCATTCAGAACCTCACCTCTGTTTTCATAGTCCTGATTATTGTGCTCTTTTCTTCCATTCTCTTCCTCTTAAAAATATAATTTCATCATTAGTTCATTAATACCTGATTGCCCTCCTGTTGTCATCAGTATTAGCCACACTGCTAACTGCATGGTCGTGCACAAAAAGTCCTGTCCTGTAATTTTAGTGAATGAAAGCAAACACTGTGCTAATTTGGTACAGTTATATAAAAATTAATGGTAGCCATTGCTAGCTAATTAATACAAATAATACAGTGCGAATTTAGTCCTTCTGAAATGGAAAACAACTTGTATATCTGTGTATATGTTTTATAATGAACCAAATTTTGATTAGACAATAACTGCTCATTCTGCTTTGTCTCTCCTGCCTTCACACTTTCAGCTCTTACATCCCCTCATCATTTCCTCCCACTCTCTCTCTCTGACAGGTACCCTGTGTGGACAGATCTTTGAGGCTTTAGTTCTGTAACTAGCCTCGAGGGATGCGGTGACTAGCCGCTGTCAGAGAAGCCAGGATTAGGCCGTCTGCTAGAGGCCTGCGGATGACAGCAGTGCCCATCTCTTCACCCTTGGCATCGCTGGAGGACCACCATAGAGGTGAACTGTAGATAAAACCAAATTATTGATCAAAGCTTTTGTATTTTGTTATGGTTACATTACAGTTACTTTGAAATAAACATCATTTTAATGTGTATTCTATGCCACTGGTTCTCTGGTGGTCTGTATACTGATAAAAAAACAAACAAACTTGTAAATGATAAAAAAAAAACAGTAAGTGATAATTAGAATTAATATAGTCAACAAAATCAACTTTTTGAATTAACAATAAAATAATCTATTAATCTGCTAATTGTATTTTAAAATGCTAAAAGTATGCTTAAAGCATTTTCTGTTGTATCGCTTTAATAACTGACGATGCATCAGTGTACATAAGTGTTTGGTTCAACTTAGCTAGCTGTGACTTAACAGTCAACTACAGTTTCTTTTGTCAGCATGAAAAACAACTGTTATTCAAATTGTGAATAAATTACAGAAAGTGTGCAAAGAATACTCTCTTTGTAATCACTGAAGCTGTCAATCACTTCAGTTCATAACCTTTGAGTTCTGCACTCTTGTGAAAACTTGCATTATAATCAGTGAAGCAGCACAATTTATATCTTCATGTAAGTGAGCACAAAATGTATGCAGCACACTGTATAATTGCAGCAGTACTATACAGTGTGCTGCAGGCATGACATTGTTTTGTAGGCCTGGTTCTGTTGGCAAAAAAAAAAACACCGTAGGATTTTGGAATGCTGCAGAAAATAAGCCTTGTGATGAACAAATGTTTATGATTCTTTCACGTTTTGTTCAAGATAATCATCAAAAATTACCACAACTTTTATGAATTTTGAAGCCAAATACAATCACGGCAAATTACCCTGGTAAAAATTAAACCAGCTTAATATTGTGGTTTGCTGATCTCATCTCTTTAATATGGTTTATTGACTTTCCAGGCCTAGTCAAACTGGTGTTTTAACTGGTCGGGCAGCTGGTCTCCCAGACTGGCTGAAAAATGCCTAAAACCCTCTAAAAACATCAAAGCAGACCAACCTAACCAGTTGGACCAGACTGACAGATAAGCTTACCGTTTTTTTTAGCAGGATAAATATTATGTATACTCTGTGTAAAGTCTATAAACTGCATGGTCGTGCACAAAAAGTCCTGTCCTGTAATTTTAGTGAATGAAAGCAAACACTGTGCTAATTTGGTACAGTTATCATATAAATATTAATGGTGGCCATTGCTAGCTAATTAATACAAATAATACAGTGCGAATTTAGTCCTTCTGAAATGGAAAACAACTTATATATCTGTGTATATGTTTTATAATGAATCAAATTTTGATTAGACAATAACACAACCACTGGTCAAAAATTCATGATTTACATGTACATTAGTCTGCTATAGAATAGCCATTTCAAATTGACGTAATTGCCAATTAAGCTTAAACAAGCACCTCTTTTAACAAACATTCTTAACTTGGTATTGAAAGCTTCTCACATTCCCACACGAAAACACATCGATAAGCCATCAGCATTCATGGTGAAGCATCACGGCTAATGAAGTTGCACTAAAACCCACTCCATCGCCTTGGGCAGCACCTCAATGGCGATCAGAGGTCTCGGCAGAGCACACGCTAAAATATTTATGACCGGCTATTACGTGGTTGATGGCGGCCCTTTGAGACGCTTGGACTGTATGGGACCTCTATCTATTTGACCAGCTAATTAGCAACAGGCCTCACTACGCTAGCTAATATTGACTAGTTGCATAAGCATCAATGACAGATGGATGGTGAAAACTAAATCGACCAGCAGCTCTTTTCTCACAGGTTGTTTAGCTAGCTGCTGCAGCTGTTTGTAGCGATCGCTCTTGCAGCCCTGCAGGTAATAAGAGCCAAACCACACATCCCCATGTTCTTCAGCAACCCCAGTGAAGTCCCTGCTGAAAAACACTGCATAGTTGCTAACCAGCATATGTTGTGTTGTGGTTGCTAGTTTTCTAGCATGGACTGCTGCTATGCTGGGGTCCCCCCCAGGCTTCTTAAAGAGACAGTTCACCCAATTCTGTCATAATTTACATCACTTTCATTTAATTTTTAAATAAAGCTGAAATAAAATGATATAAATATGAGATGAAAAAATGTGAAATGTTGCCTTGGCAATAACTGAAATAGATTTAGGTTGAAGAACTAAAATGACTAAAACGGAAACTTAAAGCTATTTAGAATTATAAAAAGTAATAAAAATGACAAAAACACTTAACAAATTTACAAAACGCTTAGATTAGAAAAATGTAAAATGTTGCCTTTGTTTAAGAAATCAACAACAACAAACTGTAATAAAAATGACAAAAGCACATAATAAAATTACAAAAACTGAGATAAAATTAAAATAAGTGAAAATATAGAAATATAAGCTAATGTGAATACTAAAATAACAGACCAAATACACAATTATCTTCAGTTGAACACAAATCTCAGTAGCAATTTTACATACAATGACAGCTCCAAAAATGATACAAAATTCCAGAATTTTTTTTAAAACATTTTAATTTGGTTTTGTTGGTTTAATTAGTGTATTAAGGTTGATTTAGTGATGTATATAATGTTAATATAAAAATACATTTTATTTGACTAGAAGTATGTTGCAGCACACACATTTCTTTGTTACTGAGCCACAGTTGCACACTTGTTTTTTCTCATTTTTGGAGCTTGAACATCCTAGTTAAGCTAAACAAGTACTAACCATCATGGCATTTCCTGCTGATCTCGTCAGCATCCTGACAGCACACATACATTTCCTAGACATGTATTTGATGTTTTCATCTGAGTGGATTTTGAACGTTTACTCAACCACAGTATGCCACTAAATCACGACCTGTCAGATGTTCCGACAACATTCAGCTGTTAATGATGCATCTTATGGGACAGGGTCACCTTAGTGGTCAACAGCGTACGTACTTTGTGTTTAAAAACAGTGAATCAAGGTTGCAGTGAATAAAGTTACAAAACACATTGCCTTAGGCTGTATTTGGTGGTTTTCTTGCCTGAACCAGACATCTGTATTGATTAAAAACTGGCACATCTATCTCAGCCCCCTCTGGGGGCATTTTACATGGCCATCCAATCAGAAACCACTGGCCCATTACCATTGTAATGTAATTTGTCTGAGTGTGGCGTGAGAGAAATGTCCAGCTAGGGATAATGGCCACGTGAGAAGACAAACTGCAGCACCGGGCTGTTTAAGCTCCATTGGTTACCTTGTTACGCAGCGAGTCTGAGTGTGTGGGTTTAAATTGCATCCCTAGATTAACCCCAACTAAGTGGGATGAATGTGTGGCCATTTTTCCCCTCGGGCTGACAGAAGTCATTCTGTTTCGGGTAATGACAGGGTAGCGTATACCACAGAAATATTTCTCAACGAGTCGAGTAGAACCACCATTTTTAACCAGTAAATTTTATTTATATATAACAACAGTACAAAGTGAATCCTTGGCTTGCAAAATAGGTGTGCTTCATATTTACAATAGGTACACAGTAATATAATAAAACAAAACAAAAGCAATTAAAAAAACAAAACCGACTTTTTTTCTTTTTAAATACTTTAACTCTCTTACAATTTTCACAACACTTAAAAAACAAGAACAGACAACCATAAGTGTTATTATTATCATCATCATCGAGGTCATTATTATTTCTATGTACTATTTTACAGAACTCCAGTGTCTACAAAGAGAGATTCGTTTATAGTTTTGCATGATTAAAAATGGAAGGATATTCACCTCTGAGGTGATCAAACTGACTACAAAAGCCTTTCTCGCTCTCCTACGATTAGTAATATGAAGAGAATATGAACATTTCACTTGTTCATAGCATGCTATTCCATCACAGAGCAAAACATGAGCTAAAAACAATAAAAGTGCACAAAATTGATTCCAAGACTGTAGATTCGTGCCAAATATATAAACTTAGCATCAGTTGTGACCGCCACAGATGACTGCTGATATTTCAGAAAGCTGCCCAGTGCTGTCAAATTTTATTCTGCTCTGCAGAATAGCGCAATAAAAATTATAATGAACTTTTCTCTTTTTTTGAGGGATCAAATGTCTTCTAATAAACAATAAGTGTTGCGCTACTGAAATCTCTCTCAACAAAGTGCAATTTCCTGTGCCACATCATTTTGAACAAAATGTTAGGACCAGAATATAGTTTGTTCTCTGAATTTTTTTTTTTTTTTGTAGAAGCAGGAGAAGACGTCCCTGCTCGACTAATGTGGCAGCAAATAAGGTTCACATTAAAACTGAGCCGCATCCTGGGAAAACCTGAAGTGCAGCAGGGTCAACGGAAGGTCTCTTGCCCTTATAGAGCTGGGATGAGCTCTGATAAATGGAAAACGGGGAAGACTATGGATAACCAAAAGTAGGAAGCTTTGTCATGTACTCTAATGTCACTAACACGCGACATGGCTTGTAAATTCATATATGTTGTCTATAACAGTGTATGTTAGTTAGAGGAATGTGCGGTTGTTCAGGAATAGTGGAATTACTATAGGTTGTCCCTAACTTCAAGTAATAGTTCATCCCAAAATAGAAAATCTGTTGTAACTTAATGACTTACTTTCGTCCAGTGAACACAACAGGAGAACATCTAAACATTCTTAAATCAATTTTTAAATCAAAAAACATTTACTTGCCAAGCAAAATGATGTAAGATAAGTCTTGTTTTCTAATAAATTTATTTAAAATCGAGTTTTTGCTTAAAATAAAAAATATCTGCCAATGAGGTAAAACAAAAAGATTGTTTTATATATATATAATTATAATTATAATTGATTTTAATTTAAGAATGTTTTGATATTTATACTGGAAAACGAGACAAAAATACTGATAGTTCCATTATAAAGCTTAAAGGACACAAAAGTGCCATAAGTTCATTCGTTAGCATACTAACGAAGCAATGCGATACTTTTGTGTGAGATACTGATACTATTTACCTTAAACCTTGATACCTCTCCTAGTTTTTTTTTTTCCATGTAATAGCTCTGAATTATTATTTTTATTCAAATCTTTTCAATGAACTTAACGATTCAGTTTCCAAAACCGGTCTAAACGATTCATTCACAATATGCACTTTCTCTTTTAAGACTTTATTGTGGTTTATTACTTTCCCACATCGATCGTATGGCTTTAGAAGACGTATAGCACACTATGAACTGTACATATAGCACACTATAAACTTCTGTGTAGCTTTATAGCACATATGGACCACATTTATGATGCTGTTTTCCATCCTTTGTGAAGCATGAAAGCGTCATTCACCATTCATTGCAATTGTATGTCAAAGATCGACCAAAATATATCTTTCAAAATTGATCCTTTTGTGTTTCATGGAAGAAAGTAAGTCAAACATGTTTTGGATGAGGACGAGTAAACGCCGACAGAATCTTCTGGGTGAACTATTCCTTTAACAGATTAATTAATTGTCTTTCATGCAGCTCTTCATTTGTAATCTCCTGCACGGGATCCTATTTTTTATGTGCATTTTTTTATCTCCTGATCACACTGTGCACACGACTAGTTGAGATCAAAGGCGAGCTTCAAAGCAGCAGAAGGAATCTGAAGCTAAAGGGGTCTGTCTCTCTCTCCATCTCATTCCTATGCTACTCAAACACTCCAGCAGACACCACCCAGCACCCGTCTGAGCGAGGGCATGCCTCTTCCACCCTTCTTCATCATCACGTTGGCTCTCTTTATCTGATTAGTCACAAAGACGGAGAAAAATGACACATCGCTGATTAAATGAACTAGAAACAACAGATGTAATGTTCTAAGGCCACAGGGAGAAAAACATCAAGCGCCATTTGAGCCGTGTCAATCTATGTCTTCACATCCGATACTGCATTTTTACTGTATAAACTGAGCTGAGGAATCTCTCCCTGATTCCTCTATGAACCTAAGATGACTCTAACCTGAACGACCTTGTCTATTTTGGTTCGGATGATCTTCAGAAACAGCTCTACCTGCCATCATGCATTCTAAATTAAAGCTATGTTGTCTTTTGTTCATGCGTTCTGTTGACATATTTCATGTCAGGCAGGGGAATAAAAGACGGAAAAAAAAGAGATTGGAAAAAACCCACTCAAGCTATCAAGATCCCAGACACCTAAAGTATTTTACAAATACTTTATATTTACAAATACCATTCCAAGCTCTTTCGTACCTGAATTTGCGAGTGGTGAGAGCGAAACTTCAAAACCAGAGATTTTTTTTTTTACAGTATACAGGGTCCGTTCCCTTAATAAAGCATCAACCGACAAGTGCGTAAATAAGTGATCTTTTGGCACTTTATCCTGACGGGTGTGTACAGAAAGGAAGTGACATGGTATATTACATCATCGGCGTTCCTCTGCGTCATCCACAACTCACGTGACCTCTTGGCACTTGAACATAGGCGTAAATGGGAAAGGAGACATAATTCTTTTTTTTTATATATGAGGAACTGTATAATGCATGCAGACTACACACACATTGGACCATACATAATTAATACTCTCTGGTAAGATGATCTCAAGCGAGTCCATTCGTTTGAAAGGGAAGGTGGGGTTTCTCCACGTGTGATTTGAGCTGAAGGTGCTACTCGTCGCCGCTTTCATATCTGAATTTCAGCAGCGCTATTATGGAGAGGGATTTTCAGTTCTTTTGGATGACGTGCCATGGAGATCAGCTCAACTGACTCCTATTTTAGAAAAGCAACAAAAATGTGAAGACAAAATAGAGTAACGTTTGTACATTCACTTACGCTTACATGTAGAAAACAGGACATATGCACATAGAGAGACCATAGAGTGAGGTTCGTCCAGTTTGACACTGGTTTCTGGTCAATTGAAGAGAGTTAGGGACATGCTGGTTGAACTTTGGCCTCCTTTTGTTGGAGTTTCATTATCTCCCAGACAATGTCGATGCCTTGTGGTCTCGAAAGTCTAAGTTTGTACTAGCGTGTGTTGGTAGTAGCTGCTGCTTTCCAAGAAAAGAAAGAGACTTGAACTTTCGCCACACCAACGATGAGAAATTATACTAGCCGACTCAACAAAACAAACTCAAAAAGCACTCATGTATAAAAATTAAATTTGGAAGTAAATGCCATCAACTGGACGGTAATGGCGAGGCAGTAAATGTCCGTTTCCTTCTTTCAAATCCTCCTGAAATGGTTTTAGCAAACACATTTTTGAGGAAGTATTGGTGTCTTGCATCCATCACGTAAATCAGTGCTAGGCACATCGAACCAGATGAACTAAAGAAGAAAGACAACAAACCAGATAAACACGTTTTTTTTTTCCTTAAAAAAATTAAAACAGAACTCCATAGTTTCCACTCCTGATCCCATCCTCAAGATGAAAGCCTTGTGACTTGCAAATAGTTGTCCACTGGTCTTAAAGGTGACCTCTTCACAAAATTGTAGAAAAAAACCACAAGCTATAGTTGATGTCGAGTCTCTAGCCAGTGTTGCTCTCTTTTGTGTGGAGAGGCTTTGGATGATGGTTTGACTGATTGAAGGTCTTTCATCCTTCGTTCCAGATTTATCTTTCTCTCAGCTCTCCAGTGACATGGCAGCGATGAGCTGCTCCACTTTGTAGGCCAGTCGTTGTTTCTTCGCCGTCTCGTCCTGTTCCAGTGCAGCAGTGATCTAGGAAAAGAACACAGGAAGGCATTAATCACTGTACGGCGTTACGACAGATCTCAGGTGATTACAGATTTTCTATACTCTGAAGAACAGAATAACATGATGTAAAATGTATAAAACATTTGATGTGATCCCAGGACAGAAGGGGAGCATGGTCACAAAAATGACATGCCTAGCAGAGGGGAGTTTTTTTTTTTAATAAAAATAATTTTAAAAAATCTTATATAAAATAAAAATTATCTTAGTTAAATCATCAATTTCATAATTAAAAACTATAAAGCATTTAATGTGATCCACATTAACATTAAGAACATAATATATTAAAATATATCTTATTTAAAACATGAGTGAAAAAAAAAAACTCTTACTTAAAGGTATCTTAAAGTCCCCATGAAATCAAAATGAAAGTTTTTTTGGGTGTTAGTATCAATATGTTAGTCTTAAGGTTATCTATAAGGCAGTGTGCTCCAAAACAGTGACAAAATTCGCATTTAGAAGATATAAGCATTCAAAACTTGCAGTTTGTCACTTCCGCCAAAACGGCTCAATGATTTTTTTGACGTCACATCGTACTTCAGCTTCTCATCAAACTTTCTGTCCAATCAAATGCTCTAGAATCCGAAGCGCCCGCCCCCTACACTATAAAATAGACGCTGAAGCCGTGGCTGAAATCGGTCACTTGTCCACAGAATTAGTATTTTTTGTACAGTGAATGGCACGTAGTGCACTATATAGGGGACAGGGAACGATTCAAACAGTGTAAATATGCTTTCCATTGAGGAAAAAAAGAAGTCTGGTTTTGCGCTGTTTCATGCTAACCACCGCACCGCACACACACTCTGCTCTGTTCTGGTCCAGGGACACGATAGCACGGAGCGGATCACATGTGCGAGTCGGCGCAGACCACAAAATGTATCGGAGCTATTTGAATTCTACACAGAATGCTATATTTTATAGCAATATGAATGAGATTGTGGCTGGCATACCCTGTCAAATGCGGCTTTACGGAGCTCAACGGCTCTAGCCCAAGCTGTGATATAAACGAACGCTATTGGCTATTTTAAAAAGTGGTGGGGCTGCTTGATATGTCCCGCCCTGTCTTCCTGTTTCAGTTAAAATTACGTCAACACAGAGTAACGCTGCGTGTTTCTAAGCATTTCAGGGGACATTTAAGGGTGCTTAGATAATATAATATAATATGATATAATATATTATATCAAATCAATTTAAAATAAGATGTTTAGATTTTTTTTCTAGAACACAAGAATGAAATGTATTGAAAAAAGTAGTAGTATGAAAGTCTCTTGGCATGACTACGCTGTCTAAACAAACAGACCGACTATCAACACTTGCAAACTGACAGTGCAGACAGTCCTAAAGAACTGATTTGAAACAACAAATCAGAATTGGGTTCAATGTGACCAAAGCTGATGTTTCAACTAAAACATAAAGCTGTTTCAGGCAACCATTAAACACCAGACACGTTCTGCAGACGGCATAATCTATATCTAATTATCACCGACCAGTTACTGCTCACTGTGATAAGAGACTTGGACTAATTTTCAGCCTCTGAGAGAAAAATTGCCAGAGACTTCATTTAATGAATATTTAATTAAAAAGGAAAGTATAACTTGAGTCTGACCCAAACTGCAGAGTGCCATCTCTCATTTCCATCTTTTTATTTATTTTTTTAAAACAGAGCAGTCAAAAATGTCGAGTCACGTTGAGAGGGGGCAGGCAGACGGGATCGACCCCTCTCTGTGCCCATGTCATAAACTCTGACTGTGGTGTCAGAGGAACACGGCAGGAAGTGGCATCGTGGCTTCTGTCTGCCATTCATTTGCACATCAAACAGTGAAAATAATGGGAAACTAGATCGATACGGGCACATCTAGCGAGCCAAGATGGGGCCTTCATTAATGATAGCTTTCAAAGCCTAAAACGATGGATGTGACAGCACTGGAGGGTGGGTGTATGTGGAAATCTCCTCTTGTA